CGGGGAGCCATAGTACTCACTAGACGGCAAGAGAGTGTGATTATGGAGTGTTCTCCGATCAGTCTATGATGCAAAAGAGTTTTAGGGTTGACTAGCCCTAGTATTGAATTTTTGGAGCCTGGTGGTTTAACCAGGGGCAAGACTGGGGTCTTCGTCTCTGTCAGGGCTAAGTCGATTTTCGGATTGGGTTGTAGTTTTCATTTGAGAATTTTGTGACTTGTATGTTACATGGGCCGAGATAGTTGATGCGAACAGAAAGTCAGTGGGAGCTCTTCTGCGGAGAGCCTGGCAGAGTTGTACAGGAAGGAGGTGGTATCGCGGTGTGGAGTATCAATCTCAATTGTCTCAGATCGAGATGTATGTTTCACTTCCAGGTTCTGGAAGAAATTCCATGAGGAGTTGGGCACAAGGTTGCATTTAATACCACCTACCACCCATAGACCGACGGGCAGGGTGAGCGAACGGTTCAGATGCTCAAGGACATGCTTCGGGCATGTGTATTGGATTTCGGAGGAAGTTGGGACATGTACTTACCCTTGGCTGAGTTTTCCTATAACAACAGCCATCATTCGAGCATTGGTATGCCACCCTTTGAGATGTTGTATGGGAGGAGGTTTCGGACTCTCATTTGCTAGGGAGAGGTAGGACAACGTGTGATGGGTAGTACAGAGATGGTGCTTTAGATGACCGAGCAGATTCAGCAGGTCAGACACAGGTTGCTGACGGCCTAGAGCTGTCAGAAGAGTTATGTGGATAGACGACGGTCAGAGAAGAGTTATGCGGATAGACGACGGTCAGACCTCGTGTGGTGTTAAAAGAGATATGGAATTTGGAGTTGATGCTTATGAATGCGATCTTTGAGGACACTTCTGATCGGGCATGGTTATGCTTTTGTGTCTAAGGATAGAGTGTTGCGGATTCTTTGTTCGAAGGGTTTCTGATAACAGTCTAGTAGATGTGCCCCGGTAGAGTGTGAACCCTTTCATTCATGGGGCGTGATTCATATGATTTAGCATGATCGGCTTGGAGGAGAGATAGCCGATTGTTGGTCGTGGTCTTATGAGAATCAGAGTGCCAGTGAGGGAACTAGGTTGATATTTGAGGAGCAAAAATCATGGTGATCGCTCAAGTAGGCGGTCTGGCGGCGGATCAGGCCACTAGAGTTTCCGGTTATTGGGAAGGGGTATTTTTAGTGGTGAAAGAGTTGGTTTAAACTCTGGTTTTGGAGGTTCTATGTGGTTTCGGGTGTCCATAGAGAAATATATCAGTGTAGTTTGAAGGTCATTTCGGTAGTGCCTTTCGGATTAATGATTAAATTTATGTGTGGTTAAGGAATGATTTCGAGGGCGAAATCTAATTCAAGTGGAGGAGAATTGTAACATCCGGATTTTTTTAAGGTTATTGTTGTGTAGTTTAATCTTTTGATTAAAGGAGAGACTCGACGAGTTGAGGATCCAACTCGCCGAGTCGAGTCGTGTTTCTCACGCCAATTTAATGAGTGGACTCGATGAGTCAGAGGAGGGACTCGCCGAGTAGGTGCTGGGCAGAGAAACCCTAATTTCTCGGGTTTGATACCTATTTAAAGATCTTTATGGCCTTCATTTACGGCCACTACACCCTGAGAAAACATAGAGAGCAGAGAGGAAGCTTGTGGTGCAAGAGGAGGGCTAATCTGTCATCCTTTGGAGTGTCTTAGCAAAGGGAAGGAAGGATTCTGATTTGTGCTGTCTTGTGGTACTCAAATCTTCCATCATTTTGTTCAGAGCTGCTGTGAGAGGTAAGGATTCATGTCCATCTTCGTTTGATTTCATGAATCTAGGGTTTCTTCATGCTTTATTTAGCTTGAATCTAGAGTATGAGAGGTCCCATGGTGAAATGATTCCTAGATCTGGACCTTAAGAGGTCTAGAGAGTCCCTTCCATTCTGCTTTATGCCTTTTCCTTGGAGTTATGAGCTAGGGTTGTCATGATATGAAGGATTTCCCCAAAATAAGCATAGAGAGCCTTGCATGTGTACCAAGATTCGACCTTTTCATGGTTATTGGTCATAGGGAAGTCAGATCTATGGATTAGAGGAGCGGATCTAACTGCAGAAAGCCAGATGAGTGTTGTCATGGGAGCAACTCGCCGAGTTCATGAGAGGACTCGATGAGTCGAGTTGGGGTTGCCCCGCGATTCATACCAGGTGTAACTTGTCGAGCAAGGGGGTTGGCTCGACGTGTCAAGCGAGGCTAGAAGGAGCATTCCGTGGACACGTGTGGACTTGCCGAGTTGCCCATGTGCACTCGATGAGTCAGGTCAAAGTTTGACCGTTGTACACGTGTGTGCGGTTGTACACGTGTGTACGGCTGCACACTTGTGTGCTGCTTCAGGTGGTATAAATAGTTTTAGTCTGTGTCTGTATTAGGGTAACGAAGGAACAGTGACGTATGTGTGTGTACTTTCAAGGTGTACCTGACAGTTATGAGAAATAGATGTGTGCATGCTTGATGTTATTTCTCTTATACTCCTTCTACACTCTATTTCGATTGTTATTACTTCATTGATTACTGATTTGGATCCATAAGATTTGGGACTTACAGTAAATGTTTATTGAATTTTAAATCAGTAAGTAAAAAACATGTGAGAATAGTAAACATCGAAGTATACCATATAAATTAATTTCAAAAACTGTGAAATATACCGATCCTGAGGGTACTCCATTGACCATTCTGACTTGCACTACAATTGAAGTTGGAAGAACCACATGAACATCAATTTGACTAAAAATGCAACCTCATATAACCAGCCAGTAAAAATGTAAATAATTTACTCAAAATTCAAGAACATCAACCAATCAATTACCGGAACTTATAACATATGAAAATAGAAAGCATGGATTCCTGTACATGACAAATGGATATAAAAAGTGCAATTTAAGGGTACATCTCAATTAATCTATATATATGATAATTCCCTGGTTTCCTTCCCATACACGAAAACTTTCCCGCCTCTCACCTCCCACATTTTCGTCATCGCACCTCCTATCATCTTCATTCTCTTCTGCCACTGCCAACACCATTACCAATTTATCATCCACCACTGATTGGCCTACTTTCCACTTCTCCATTGCTCCACCGTGCTGCCACAGTCACCCATTAAAGAAGACGAATCTCACTAAATTTTGCCACCACATCACCATCACCGTAATCCTACTGCCATTCTCCTCCATCTCCACTTCTACTGTCACCTCCCTCCACTCTAATTTTTTTACTTTCTTTGAAGAAGGTAAAACCATAAATTTTTGGTATCACTCTAGGAATTAAATCCAATTATTTAGACACCATTTCTTTGACCAGTACTATTGTTACAACTTTCAACTGATCCAAAAGTATTGATGTTACTTGTTTCACCCATTGAAGACTGAAATATATGACAAAAATTATGATGTGTTGATAGATCACTATTATAATCAAGCATTTATGTTGTTACGATCATGTAAGATATTCTTGTTGAGTTATGTGTTAATGATGGTTGGATGCCTACATATTCTATAAGCATAACTCTCTACTTCCTATTGCTTTTTTAGTATCAAGGTTGTGTTTTTATTGTCTTTTGATGTTCTTGTTATTCCTTGAAGTGTAGAATATGTAACATGGCCATCATAACCAAAGTAGAATCAGAGCCTAACATTGGAAACTCAAATACTTGCAATAGTAAAGAAAAAGGCATCTTTGACAAGTGACTCATCTATTCTCTTATGCTTATCAACATGTTGATCAAGATCAGTGTTGTTGCCTACTTCCTCATAAGTAACTCGCTTGAACATGGCATCATACTCGTGTGAGTTAATTTTAGTCCTTCTTGAGTACCACTCCCTTATGATAATTTGTTAGTAATAAATGTAGGATTTAGAGTTGTTGATTGCTTAACCATGGGTTTAACCCTCTTGAAGATGTTACGTTCTTTCTTTTCTTCTGGTAATTCTCCTTTTTTTTAGAGGGAACTTCCCTAATGACGATTCTGGGCCGGCTTCGTGGGCCACTAATTCCCCACTGCAAACATGAGGTTATGCTTCATGCCCTGGAGTCACTGTAGATGAACTTCCATGGCCACAATCTCTACCGTTGATTCTCATATTGAGCAGTTACATCCTTCAAATGATATTCTATTTCTGCTAAAATCGTTCCATGTATTTTAAGTGTTAGAATTGTACATAATATTGTACCTTTTAGTCTTTTTCTTCTAATTAAAAGCCACATAGATGCTATTAGTTATAAATTATATGAGGGTTTTCTAATCCTAACAAAATTATAAGTTTAATCTTTTGCTTACAATTTTTTTATCGTAAACTTGAATTCAACAAATTTTATTTGAATTTCACAAAATCAGTCAACTACATAAAGTATGTAGCTATAATAGGCAAAAGTTAAAGTACATTGCTTAAATTTGTAGCGGGAGTAAAGTCATCTTCAAGTGTTTAAGAGCTATGAAAAGTTATACTTACTTATGGATTTGCTCATGTAAATGGACATGTATTTTTATGATTTTTTTTGTAAATTAAGTAAAATGAGGATCTTGGTTCTATTAAATTTCATTTTCCAGTTTCTAGATCCATTTAGGTTTGGACCTGCTTTCATCTTTATGTCAAAACCAAGAGTTTGGTTAGTAAATCCAAACTGCATGGAGAATATAAATGTATTTAATCGACTGAATTTTATATGAAATTAATGCTTAAACACGTTTGTAATGAGTTGATTATTATCCGGCACCATCAAGTATGGTCCAATATAAAAATTGAAAGGAGCGGATCAAATAATATTTAATTGCTAAGAGGGTGCACATTGTCCGATAGGAAAACATGAAAAAAAGGAAAAAACTAGTTTTATGCGTCAACAAGATATTGTTTTTTATAGTCGGACGTTGTTTTCCTAGTACTTTCGGTCAAAAAGATTCCCATGAGGCACAACTATTGCAAGTATATAATATTTTATTAGAAGGTGCAAACTCAGTTTTGTTTATATTCACATAATCATAAACACAGATCTAATTATCTTTGAGCAATTAACTCAGTTCTGTTTATATTCACATAATCATAAGCATCAAACAAACTTATCAGTCCACAAAACAATGTCTTCTTCAGGCGTTCACCTAGAAAAGTTTCTAATCCCACTAGAGGAGATCCATTCAGCCACCAAATACTTCGGTTATGATAATATGTTACAAATTGAAGGATTTAGTGAGATCTACACAGGACAACTCTCAGAACGCTGGCAAAATCGTGTAGCTTCCTTCAAACGCTTAAGACTTGGGTTTTATAACGAGGTTGAGATGATGTCGACGTTTAACCACAAAAACATCATCCGTTTCATTGGCTATTGTGATGAAGATAACGAGTTGATTATGGTGTCCGAATATGCAATCAATGGAAGCCTCGATCAACATCTTCAAGACCCCAATAAGAGACGTTCCCTAACATGGGCACAACGTCTTAAGATTTGCTTAGGGGTAGCAACAGGACTCAACTACCTTCACTCAGGTCTTGGTGAGCACAACATAATAGTACACAGAGACATCAAAAGTGCAAGCATATTGTTAGACGATAATCTTGAAGCAAAAATATGTAGTTTTGGTTTGTCAATATGTGTGGATCGAAATCAGCCACAAGTGTATCAAGGTGTTGCACATACCACAGTTTACATGGATCCCAATTATAATTATAGTAGCATGCCCAGGGTTGAATCGGATGTTTACTCATTTGGGTGGGTGCTTTTTGAAATATTGAGTGGGATGTTGGCTTATGGGAGGAGAACTGGTGATAATAAACGACAATCACTTTCAATGTTGGTTCAACTCTACTTTGGTAATAAAGTGGATAACTTAATCGATCCTTATATGAGAGATCATATTAATATGCATTCATTCCATATAATTAAGGATATTGCGGGTCAATGCATTAGACAAAAAGATCGCCCATCGATAAACATGATCATCAGGAAGATTGAGGAAGCATTGCATATTCAAGTAAGTCTTCATTTATATATTTTACAATTCATAATCTTAAAAGTAAGTCTTCATTTAAAAAAAAACTATTAAAGGCTGGACTTGAATCTTAAACTACTTAGTTAAAAACTAGATAATAATTAAAAACCAACTTCATTTTGTAATTGAATAAATGATTTTTCTTAACAAAGAAAAAAAAACATTAATCGGCTGGTAAATTATCCCACATATAATTTTGTCTAAACTACGAAGAAATTGTTTCAAATTTATATTATTATTCAGTTTGAAATTGTTAAAACCCTTTTTGCGTAATTGAAGCAAGATCAAACAAAAAGTGAAAGACTATGTGAAAACTATAATTATTATGAGTTGCCTTCTGAAACAAATACATTGTGCTAAAATTTCAGTGGAAACCAACCTATGTTAACACAAAAAGAACTGACTAACAAAAAAATTGACTTTCATGATAAGTTACCACCACAAAAAAAAGCTAAATAAAATTTGATGCATAAACGGCTGACTTTCTTCTGACCTCATCCAATATACAATGAACCAATATGATACGAACAAAACCAGACTACAACTTGAAAGTTTGAAAGTCCCATTTTCATAACCCTAAACAATTACGTTTTGGTGAAAATATAGGGTTAATCTTATGAAGAGCTTATATTTTATGTTTTTTGATGATCAAGTCTCAACATACAACCACTCAACTGTCTTTTTTTTTCCTGTGAAAACTCTCAACCTTCTAATTGTTTCAAAAAAAAATCCTCATCTTTTTTTATTTTTCCAAAAAAATCTCATGTTTACAACTTTTTTTTTTTTTCGAAAAAATGACTAAAAAGGCCCAATCGAAAAAAATTAGAAAAACACAAGGTGATTTTAAAAGTAAAAAAATAAAATAGATGTTTAAGCCGCAAAAAAATACAAAATATAAGATGTTTTATGAGATCAACACTAAAAATATACAAGAAATAATGAAATTTAATTCATATGGTATGTTCTAGTTAATTGTTATAATATTCTTTAAATATCCACAGAACCATGGAGTTGCTTCAACCAGTACCATAAGAAGCGACCAACAAGATCAAAGCTTAGAAAGTTTTTTTATTCCACTAAATGATATCATCATTGCAGCCAAAAACTTTGATCCTAAATCTCAGGTCGGAGACGGTGGATTTGGTGAGGTTTACAAAGGACAACTCTCTGAACGCTGGCAAAACTCTATAGTTGCCATAAAACGTCTTAATCGCGAAGGCCACCAAGGAAAAAACGAGTTTCTTACTGAGATTAAGTTGATTTCGAGGTTCCACCATGAAAACATCATCCCATTCGTTGGTTATTGTGATGAAAAGAATGAGATGATTTTAGTTTACAAGTATGCCAGCAATAGTAGCCTTGATCAACATCTTTACGACCCAAATAGGAGACGTAACCTAACATGGGCACGACGCCTCAAGATTTGCTTAGGGGCAGCAAGAGGACTAAACTACCTTCACTCGTGTTTAGGGGAGCACAATAGAGTAATACATAAAGATGTGAAGAGTGGAAACATATTACTAGATGAAAATATGGAAGCTAAAATTTGTGATTTTGGTTTGTCAAAAGAAGGGCCAAGAAATCAGCAATATACACAAATGTATACAAAAGCTGCGGGTACCAATTTCTACATGTGCCCCATTTATCGTGAAAGCAATATCCTTCGTAAGGAGTCAGACGTGTACTCATTTGGGGTAGTGTTGTTTGAAATGTTAAGTGGGATGTTGGCTCATCACCGAAGGGACTCTGGAGATGGCAACCCTCAAATTCTTATAAGTCTTGTACGACGCTATTTTAAGGAAGGACTTGACCGATTAATTGATCCACTTATAAAAGATCAAATTGATAGTCGTTGCTTTCGTACATTTAAAGATATTGCACATCAGTGCATAAGCTACAATATAGAAGAACGCCCTACAATGGACAAAATTGTCGAGGGGATTGAGAATGCAATGAATTTTCAAGTAAGTTAATTTATTTAATTATTTTGTGGGATATCTCTTTTTAAATGCAAGAATTAAGAACAGTATGGATTATGATTTTTGTAACATATGTCTATTCTTATAAAATACTACAAACGTGACGTAGGGAACAATACTCTATGTGCAGGACATATAACTATTTCGCTTAAACAATTTTCAATATTTGGCTTAAATAATTTAATAAATAAATGTGTTAGGTTGTAATATTGTGTTGTGTTATATTTCAGGGACGTGAAATGTAAAAGGATGATAAGCTCAGAACTTGTAGCTATATGTAGCCTGTTGGCAGAGAGGTTGTTTATTGACAAACATTATACGTACATAAATTTATTTCCTCTTGGTTATTATCTTATATGTCTTCATGGTTGCTCATATCATGGATGAAGCACGTATGTTGTCGGTTTGTAATTGATATTTTTCTATTGGTTTATAGATTTTTATTAATGTTGCTCTCAAGCTTAGTTTAAATTAGATACACAAATAAGGTTCGGATGCAGTCATGATTGTCACTAAACCGTCAGTCCCAAGACAGGTCCGGTACATAATCCAATTTTTGAGTGTGTTCCGAGTGGGTTGCTACTATCAGGCCCGGTTTAGACCAAGGGCAAGATGGGTATAATTTTTAGTGGCCCAACTTTTTTTAAATAGTATATATAATTTTAGCCCAATCCAAATGCAAATTGGTCCATGACCATTAGCATCGCATACGGGAGAAGGCACAACTGCACAAGGCAACATTGAGTATTAACATTCAGCGAACAAAAGCCAGAGACATCAAGTTCCTCGTTAAAAAAAAAACGTCAACACTCAGCAGAGCAGGTCGACAACAACTTAGCCACATCAACTCAACTTTCAGCAATTGCCAATCAGCAAGACAACAACAACAAGGATCGACTACACGATTATTTTATCTCCTGCAGTCCTGCTAATCACTAATCATGTAATATTGTAATAGTTATTAGTCTAATAGATTATGATTTATGAGAAATCGAGGATTATCAATTTATAGTTGTCAATTTCATACTTGAATGATTCATAGATTATCAGTTTAATAGTTTATTATCACTATAGAAACCAGTTTAATAGAATGTTGAATCATGAATAAATGAAATATTATCAATTTCTTAAATTCATAGATCATATAAATTAGTTTAGTAGTTTATTATCACTAATCAGATTATGAAATCTTAATATTATTCTAAAATATGATTCAATCAGATTATAATGAATGATTAAACAGATTATTACTATTAGAAACTGAAATTAAATTATGAGAATAAGATTATGTATTTATGTAATTATTTTTATTGTATAATTATTTATTAGAAATTCAGAATTCATAAATCATGGGTGTTTAAAGAATCAAATACTACTTTATCATATTATTGTGATTATACTCAATCAAATCAACATTTTTGACATTTGATTTGATATTTTTTTTCTTTTCTTTTTTTTTTTGTTGTTTTTTTTCCAATTTCGTGTTTTTTGTTATTTTTAATTTTTTTTAATTTATATTATTATTATTATTATTATTATTATTATTATTATTATTATTATTATTGTTATAAATTTCGCATAAAATTTAAACATCCGAATGAAAATATAAATTCGAACGACTATATAAATCGGTTTTTAAATATTTTTTTATATTTCAATAATAATATTATTCAAATATAATAATAATAATAATAATAATAATAATAATAATAATAATAATAATAATAAATTAAAAAAGAATTAAAAACAACAAAAAAATAGGAAAAAAAAAAAAAAAAAAAAACAACAAAAACGAAAAATCAAATCAAGGTTTGGAATTAAAATAGGAAGGGGTATCTTTTAGAAAATCCCTTGAAGAACATCGATAATATACAGATGCACCGGTGAAGATAAGATTTTCAAAGCAAAATAAATCAAATATCTAATCTTGAAGATATGTTGTTCAAGAGCAAATATGAGGTGGAGACTGACAGAACAAAGAGATGGGATCACAACACAAAGGGATCGACAATGCAGGAATGTATCTAAAAAAAGGTATTTGGTTTTTTTTTTGTTGTTTGAGGGTTATAAGGTCATCCCCAATGGGGGTTTCATGGAGGGTTCAATGGATAAAAGATTATGAGGTGGCATTGAATATGTAGTATTTAGCATTGTGGGTGGAGTTGAATGAATGTGAGGTTTAATCCTCATTTAACGGTGCTATTGAATTGCTTTTTTTTTTTTTTTTTTTTTTTTTATTCTCACTTTAGTACAAACTATATATTATTATATTGAAAGTTAATTTATTATTTTTTTTGTAAAAAACAAACTATATATTTTTATTTTTTGTTTTATACTTCATTTTATTTATATTCAATAATTTAATTTATCAAGTTAATTTATATTTTTTTTATTCTAAACAATAAAAAATACATAAACTCTAAAAATGTTTTAAAAAGATAACATCTTGTTTGTAACTTTTAATTTCTAAATTGTAATCTTTAATTAATATTTAGTAATTTTAACTTTAAATTTCTAATTAATTTAATATTCTAGTTTTATTTATTAATACTATTTATATAAAAAAAAAAATTAAAATGATGATGTGACAATCCATTGAACTCTTAAGAGTTTAATGAAGTGTAGAATTTAATAGGTTAAATGGTATAGTTAGTAGAATGTTGATGTGGCAATCCATTTAATTCTTAAGGGTTCAATGTATTCGAGATTGCCTAAGTATATTGGAACAAATAGAGTTTTACAAAATTTTAAATATCCCTTTCAAAAATGAAAATATAGTTTTCAAAAATTTGAATCAGGATTAAAAGTATATTAATGTTTGTACGTGTTTGTTCTAGTATGTTACCTAAAATATTTATATTTTGTTTTGATTTAGGATTTTATTTGTTTTCAGGTGGCTTCCAATTTATAGATCGTGATGCTATTGTTATTTTGTTGTTGCTATTAAATAACATTTTTCTCTAATATGATTGGTCTTTTGTAGAAGATTTGGCATATTTTTTGTTTATGTAATTTCATTTTCAATTAAATTTGCCGCTTTTTTTATTCGAAGGATCTTAAAATCTTGGAGAGATTTTTTTAAATGATATTATGTGTATTTTCATATATTTTTTTAGCTTTCACATAAAAAAGCTATGTGAATCAGTGAAAACATAATGTGGGTGTTAGTTTAAAGTTCAATTCATAAAATATTTGAACCAAAATTGTAATTGTTTGATGTAATTTGGCAAGAAACTAACTATTGTATTAGACCAAATCATGATATATATCTTAAAGGAGATTACATAGTTGCGAGATTTATATTTTTTTAAAGTACATTGCGATATTAGGGTAGAGAAAAAAATGAAATAAAAAATCCTCTTTATTTCGATATATGTGCAAAGTAGGACGTTTTAATTTGTGCAGGTAAGAAATTAAAAACATAGAAATAGAAAAAGGGTATTATTTGAAATGTTAAAGTAGAGAGATTGCAAAGTAGGATGTTTTAGTATGTATTTTATAGAATTTTCAAAGTGTGATAGAAAATGAAATGGTACCTATTTTCATATATTTACAGGTTTGATAGAAATTTAAAGTAGGATACTATTTGATAGAATTTAAAACTATAATGTACGTGATAGGCCCAAGGACCTGATGTTCTATAGTAGGAAGAAGAACAAGCCCATTCACTCCAACTCAGCTTGATTATCTTGTGTGGTCCAGGCCTGTTTTGGTTATCCCTGAGTCTAGTCGTTGTCTTTGTTATCGTTTTTTTGTTTTTTGTGTAGTGCTCCTCCCACGTTCTAGTAGTGGGGGATCTAGGTTCGCCCTGTGAGGGCAGTGTCTGTTTTTTCTGTCCTTTTTGTCCCCTAGGCTCCCTATATATAGTCCTGGGGAGTCCTTTGTTTTTCTGTATGCAAAAGTTAGTAAAAGGTTCACTATGAACATGGGAGAGTACCCACTTCTATAATTGTTGGCTTCTATCCGACTCTATAGTCTATTGTACTGTTTTATGTTCTTGTGTGTGTCAAAACATTGTTAAAAGCTGTCAGTACGTTGCTAAATTAGGGTAGAGAAAAAATGAATAAAAAAATCCACTTTATTTAAACGTAAAGTATAAACAATAGGGAAAAAAACAATATTATACTTTATTTAAATAGAACACATATAACATTACAGTTTACCCTTTTATTTAAAAGAAATATCTACATATCATGAAAAATTACAATGTTACCCTTTTAGAAATTACCTTTGATTGTTATAAAGTACAATGTTACCCTTTTATATAAAAGGATTGTTTTGAAGCTACAATGCTATATTTGTAGTTTATTTATGTAGAAAACTATTTCATTTAAAAAAGACTGCATAATAGTTTAAAAAATATTTCAGTAACATGATTTATTTATTAAAATATGATATTTTTTTTAGGTGTTTCTAGTATAGATGATTGAAATACAACATTACATAATATGAAATAGTTATGCGAATTACATAAAATTACTATTTTAAAATGTTTAACAACTAATAGTTTATAAAAATTCAAATAGGAAAAATAATCATTACATGATTACACATACAGAAACAACTAACAATGGTAAAAATCGAAACAGCTCAGACCATTATTAGTGTTGATTGAAGATGTACTAACCTTATTTTCTTTGATGTATCTCTTGCAGAAATGTGGTGATTGAAGATTTGAAAGCATTTTTTCTTAATTATAGGGCGTGTTCGGCAAAATTAGTTGGTAGCTTGTAGCGGGTAGCGGGTGGCTCGTAGCTTGTAGCGTTTTGTTAAACGCTACATGAAGTAGCATTTGGATTTGGAGCGTTTTGTTTAAACTAAACGCTAGAAGCTTGTAGTGCCAAAGAAGGTTTTCTAGTCAAAACAAAACTTTTTTCTAACGTTAGAACCTAGAAGCTCTTAAACGCTCCCAAAAGCTTCGTACCGAACGTGCCCATAACGAAGGTGTCATGGTTTTCATATAAAGTTTAAAGGGAATGAGCTATATAATAGGTAGTTTTAGGTATGCACGGTAATAAAATCCCATATTTTGGGATAAATTAGAAACTTAACTTATTTAGTTGTAATTTTGAATCGATATAAATCAAAATTTGAAAAGTAAAATTTGGAAATCCAGATTTTATGGGATAATTCAAAATTTTAAAAGCAACTGATTTGTTACCAATAAATGTGGATCAATGTTGATGTGTTATGTTGGACGATTTTTATAAAAATGCCTTAGAAATATGACATGTGGGCCATGGTAAAACAACATCTTAGAATAGGAACAAGTGGCATAATAAGGTTTTGTTTATTAGAGAAGTATATATATATATATATATATATATATATATATATATATATATATATATATATATATATATATATATATATACATGCACACACACACACTAGCCGGTTACTCGTGCCAAACGATGGTGCGAATAATCTTTTTCAAAGAGGATTGGGGTTGAGTAATTTTGTTTTCAATGAATTGTTTCATTTTGATGGGAGTACATTGTTATATAAGTGACCGAGGAGAATAGTTTCCTTTCAACGATTAGATTCTTTTCGGTAGGCAGGTGGTGGATGGCAAAATATTTCGTTTAAATGAATAGTTTTTCTTTTCTTAAATATGGTTTTAAAACATAAATAATTAAGTAGAACTAATTTACAATAACAAATTCATTTAAAAAATATAACGAATATCAATTCAATATAGGGAAATGATTCGTACACAACAGTTTTTTTCCATACACAACAATTTATATATTATAGAGTTGTACAATACAACATTTTAAAGCATCAATTGTTGTGTATAATTGCAGTACTCAAAACTATCTGATATAAATAAAATTTCAAATTTGTCATTTATGATAATTTTATAGTTCTACTTTTCATTAATGATAAAAGTAAAAGTTATGCTAAATGTCTTGTTGGTTAAAGTAAGTTGTACCAACAATCTGAACAAAATGCATACCATATTTGTTATTCTTGTATGTTGCATCTATAATCAAAATGTGTGGAAATCAAAATGTGTGGAAATGATTTCCATATATTCAACGACTATGGATGAACGAAGAATAAATTTTCTAATTCATTTGAAATATTATTTACGGAGAACTCTGTAACAAAATGTTTCGCTTTCAAAATTTCCATTCGAACCTACATTAGAATATTGTTAATTAATAAATATTCAATATATAAAATACAAATTTGAAAATAAATATGTTTTATAAAAAAAAAATAGTATAAAAAGCGTGTTATTCCATATTCTACTTAAGCCCATTTTATTAAAAAAAATAATAATAATTAGCCTATCAGTTAGCCCAATTTTAAAAACCAACCTACTCTTTACATAAATACCAAAAAAAAAACTAAAATTCGTTAGCCTCTACTCCAAAATCGATCGCCTCTTTTGTCTCTCAATACTCTCAGAGGAAGTCACTACTCTCCATCATCTCTAATCGAAATGATACTTGGAACGACGCACAACCACCATTAGAAACGATGAACTACCACTGTCGAAATGACTCACCGGAACGACCATCAAAAACATTGTAAGTCCGAAAACACTTAGCTTATCAATATATCAATCAGACTATCTAAAGAATGCGGAATATAAATCGGATATCGATTCAAGAATACACAAAATAATTAATGCACACGATTATATTAGATCAATTCGTCTGGTACATCAAGAAAACTCTTAACAGCTGAATACCATTTTGAATTCTCGAACTAACTACCTAATCGATTGAAAAGCAATATGTATATATATATATATATATATATGTGTGTGTGTGTGTGTGTGTATATATATATACCAAGTACAAAGGCCCAAGCCCAAATACAATATAAATTATAAGCCCAACATAAACCACAAAAATATGACCCAACAATCCCCACATTGGTTTATGGCTGGCTAACTTGATGCACATCCGCCTGATCGAATGCCCCAGCTCACAACTTACTTTCAATTATAGTAACTACCATTCCGGTGGAGGCTTTTGCGGCTGCTTCAAACCATTCATTCTCAACAATTATTTGAAAGTTTGATAAAGTTCGGATGTCACGTTCACAAAACTTCAATAAGTCTTTGGGATCAACAATGTGATACTGGTTCTTTTTCAACTTAACCACTACCGATGCAGTAGCATCTTCATATATGCAGAAATGCATCGAGTCCAAAGTGCCTTATGGTAAACATTTAGGAAGCGGAATCCTTTTGGCTTGCTTTGTGGGTGGCCATATAACATTCACCGTGGTTTTATTAGTGCGAGGATCAATAACACCTTTGGCCTTTTTCGTAAACGATGAAGCAGTCTTCATGCCTTCAAATTTATTTTTAGCTTTATCCTCAAGAAACTTTTTCAAAGACCAGGTCATAGGTTCATTGGTTGGATTGTGGAAAGGAGCGTGAATGAGTTCAGAAAGATCAACTTTTGTCCAGGACAAAAAGTCAACTTTCTTCTCATAATATTCAACTCGTCCGCTCTTTCGCTATACAATCTACATTTTCTTGTATGCATCATATCCCCACATTAGAATGCCAGAGAGGTCTCCATAATTATCAGTAAACTTCTTCCCAGTCTCCCTGAAAAACATCTATGGATGATCACTTGGAGCATTTTTGTCAGAATGCCTTATCACTAGCATCTTCCCTCTCAGTTGCTCAACCCTAATTTGCTTCTCTCTTCTTTCTTGAGCAGAAACATGACCAGAAGATAAAAATGTGTCAAGATTTGTATCCAAAGCAGGTCTCACAACTCTTTCACTTGCAGGTTGAGAAGATGGATTAACTAGACCAGAACTAGAAACATAAATCTTTTCACCTTCATCACTTAAAGGTTGAAAATCATCACCAAACCTTTGATCTAAATGTTGTTTTAAGTCAAAGAACAAGGCAGATAGACCACCAATATTTGCTTCAAGTTTTGAAATTTTTGCATCTTTAACTGAGTTCTCCTTTTCAAGATCACTGATTCTAATTTCCTGCCTTCTAATAATCAAATCATATTTAGCTGAGCTCTGTTCTAGATCAAAAGCTTTGTTTTGAAGCAGAGCCATATCTACAAACTCAGACTCAGTTAGTTTGTTCTTGCCTTTTGAAATATCCAGATCAGGGCCCTTAAAAGAACTTCCAGAGGCTTGAGCCCCTTCTAAAGGGAAAACTTCTTGTTCAACGACAGGGCTTTCAAAATCCTAATCTATAGGCGTGGATTATGGTAACGGGCTTGATCAGTGTATCCATGCTCTGATGGTTATACACTAATGACATACTGATCAAGTGATGATGACACTCGTTGATGGTACTATCTGTTGAAGTTGAAGCTGATGTTGAACCTGAAGCTGATCAACGTGTCGCCCTGATGCTAATGTTGATGCTTTGATCAGTGTGACTCCCTAAAGTTGATGCTCTAATCAACATCTGATGTGATGGTGCTGATATCTGAATTTGGAGAAGCTCTGGTCTGATACATTCCTTATTTACTAGATTAGTTTATATGTAGATTAGATATAATCCCTTGATTAAAGGGAGTCAGTGGAATAGACTAGTATATATTTAGACAAAACTACAAAATTGGTCCCTATGGCTATGCAAAAACTGTGGATAGAGTCAAAAAAATTTCTAACTTGCATAAGAGGTCCAAAATCAAAAATTTCTTGTGTTGACTGTTGTGGAAATGGAGTGTGATTGTGGCCGATCATCAATCTATACATTGCGAGTGGAAGATTAAGGAGGATTGTGGGATTGCAATCGAGATCGAGAGATGCTAAATCCATTGAGATAGAAATTAATCATTAAAGATAAGGAAGTGATGCAAAATAGGTCATCAGAGACGAGGCGGAGATCGATCGTTGATGACTGTGAGTGAGCGTGAGGCAGAGATCGTCCGCCGAAGGTACCATAATTGGAAATCTCGAATCAGTTTATTCCTTGAATGTCCCATTTTTGATCCAATGCTCCACTTTTAATTTTTGGTTTATCAGAAAACTATGATTTCTCAAATGATCTTACTTATATATATATATATATATATATATATATATATATATATATATATATATATATATATATATATATATATATATACACACGAGCGTTCAATCAAAAACATTTCGTATTGCGAGAACATTTGAGAAGAAATTTTGCAAGGTGTCAATTTTGTAATCAAATCAAAAACTATAAAAATAATATTCATATAAATCAAAAATAGTTAAGAACATTAAAAAAAAAAAAAAAAAAAAAAAAAAAAAAAAAAAAAAAAAAAAACTCACTAACATACACCACTCATGACCCAACCATGTAACAATTGGTAAAAATTGATTAGAGTTCGACTGTTAAACCACCACTAAATTTTATGTTTAATATGTATTAAAAATATCATGGTCATAATCACCTTTTAGAAATTGAATCAAAAATCAACAAAAATTAAATCTATTTGTGGCTTTAAAAATAAATTTTTTCATTAAGTATATTTGAAAATTATGAATAAGAAAAATGAATAAATTGTGTTCTCTTGATTTCGTGGATATAAAGAACGTCCAAAACGGAGGTCTTTAGTTGGAAGTTACGCCTTTTTAAATTTATAAAAATCAATATTTATCTGATTTTCCTGAAACGAACTGTGCATTGTTTCGTTTGGAATAAATTCGAATCTTGTAAACTGATTTTGAACATGTTTTTGAATTCAGGTTATGGTGTAGTATCTTATTATATTTTTATCACATTTTTAATCCTGACCAAAATTAGATCCATAAAATCTGTCTCCATAAAATCTTTCGAATTCGACCATGTTCATCGCAAAACTTTAAACGCTATTTCATGGAGTTTGGTATATCGAAATTGAATTATGTCTGCGTTTCCGGAATCATAACTACCGAGACAACAAGCAGACATTTTCAGAAATTTTTTATGAAAACAATTAGATGGCACGAGAATCTAAAGAACGAGATTTATAGCACAATATACTTTATACATATTTATTTCTTAAAATATCTATTAAAAGTTAAAGAAGACTTTTGTTTGGAGGGTCAATCATGCTTAGAAAGGAAGCTATCAGTTTTTCTCTGATTTAATGACTTAAAAAGGTAACAATGTTTAAAAAACGTACAAAAAACACAATTATTTTTTTAGTGAAAAAATACCACTAAAATGAAGATTTTGTACAAAAAAACACCAGCAAAATACAAATTACCATTTATTGTGACCTGAGGTAACCGGTTACCTCAGTTCAAATATTAATCGTGATTTAATAACCTTCAGCCACCAAATTAGGGTTCACTCTCCATCTTCATCTCCTTCTTCCCCTGTAATACGGCTTATATAGCATCTTCAAGTTCATTAAATTATTCTAAGTCAAATTCGAACATGTTCAAGAGTAGGAGTACAATTAATTATGCTCACCTTTGTCACTGTGAGAAGCCTTCTTAAGTTTGGTCCTCAACTCCGGCTGATAATCCGGGTAAAATGTTCAGAGTATATCGTAACGCACTAGTAAGTGGTTATGTGATCTATCATCTACTTCTCTTACATAAGTAATTTATTATGTGAATTTTATTATGTATATGAAGGATAAGAAGAAGAAGAAGTGTGATTTTTAGGAATGGGTCGACCAAGATGAAGAACTGATAAAACAAGACAACACTGAAGTGAATATATCAGTAGTGGAAAATAATTTTTGGACTCATTAGGTGAAGGAAGATAAAGAAGCACTGAGTTTCAGAAAAGACTTGGATAAATTAAGTAGGAAATATTGGAATCTCAAATGTTTTATGTTGTTGTTCTTTGTTATGTTTGTTATGTATGTTATATTGAAATAAAATTTAAGAGTGGGGAATGCACTTTGAAAATTATAATGCAATGACTTTGGTAATGTACTTTTAAAGTTTGGTTAATTAAAAGTCTTGTATACGAATGGAATCAATGTTTTATGGAAATAAAATTAGATTTGATAAAGGAATGGGACCAATGATTCCTAAATATAATTGAGTGCTCACACATAAATGAAATCAGTGATTCCTGGAATGGAATGGAATTACTGATTCTTGGTTGATATTAATTCTTCACATTGTAATGGAATTATTGATTCCTGGTTAATATTGATTCTTCACACTAGAATGGAATTAATGATTCCTGGTTAATATTAATTGTGTACATTGAAATGGAATTAATTCTTCATACTGGAATGGAATTAATGAATCCTGGTTAATATTGATAATGTAAACATTGAAATGGAATTAATTATTCACAATGAAATGTAATTAATGATTCCTGGTTAATGTACATTGAAATGGAAATAAGGATTCGATTCAAATAACAATGGGACCACATACATTACAAAAGTTGGACCAGATATATTGGAATGGAATTAAAAAGTCCAACAATAATTCAGTTTTCAAATAACAAAAGGACCACATAATCATTTTCATCTTCCAAGGCTCTCAACCCATCTCTCAGTGAACATTATGGAAGACATTGATACGCATTGATCCTTCCATCCTTGACCAACTTCACATACGAGATGAACTCCATGAAACTCATGCTTTTGAAATCAACATTGCTAACAACCACTTTTACTATATTGAAATACACAATCGGTTTAGGGACAAAAGAACTTGTATGATTGACTTCGATTGTCAAGTTGGAACCCATTATGGTGATTCTATGGAAAGGATGAACAAACAAATGAGAAGGAGAAAGAAAGGAACCCTAGATTGGGGTGGGGTGGGGGGGGGATAATGAAGAGGAACTGGCTAACCTATAATACCCAGTAAAATGGTATTTTTTTTCACTAAAAAAAGAATAATTTTTTGTATGTTTTTGAAATATTGTTACCTTTTTAAGGCATTATCCCTTTTTCTCCCAAAAACTATCTCTCCAAAACTATCCTTTTCTCCTAATGGGTCGACCTGGGTTGGGTTCAGGTTCAACCCATTTAATTCTTGGGTTGAAAATGTCAACCCAACCCAACATGTTTATTTAAATGAGTTGAAATTTCCAACCCAACCCAACATTTAGATAAATGGGTCGTCACCAGGTTGACAATCCATTAAATAGTTTAGATAAATGGGTTGTCACCTGTTTATTTAAATGGGTTGACCTGTTTCTATAGTTTCGGACCCAACCTATTAAATAAATGGGTTAAACTTGGGTTCACCCATTTAAAATCAATTAAATAAATTATATAATTAAATATTATACCACTTAAATTATAAAACGTAAGTAAAAGTTCATAATTATGACAAAAGCACAATCGTAATTCATAAATACAAATAAATTGTTCAAATAACATTAAAAATGTTTACTTTCACAGTGAATTTTGACAGTGGTCAGCATTATCGGCGCTAAAAGCTGAATGAAAATTAGGACTGAATTTTATTAAACATAGATAATAATAATGCAACATTATAATTTACAAATTAATACTTTGATTAATACATGATAATATTCAAATAATATTAATTTAAATATATAGTAAAGTTAAGTGAATTGATGGGTTGAAAACGGGTTGATAGTTTTTGTCCAACCCAACCTATTTAATTAAATGAAATAGACGGGTTGACCCATTTAAGCTAAATGGGTTGAAAATCTTAACCCAACCCATTGATTTTGGCTTGGGTTCAGGTTGGATGGGCAGGTTGGTAATTTTTACCCAGCCCAACCTATTTAATTAAATGGAATAGACTGATTGATCAATTTAAGTTAAATGGGTTGAACATCTTAACCCAACCCGTTAATTTTGGGTTGGGTTTTGGTTGGAGTGGCATGCGGTTTGATTTTCAACCGACTATCTCGCAAAAACCATCACTCCCTCACTTTTTTTTGCTCTCCCGTCTATGAAACCAACGAAGAAAAAGAAGTGAATATCTCGTTGGCGGTTGCAGCTCCATTTCTTAATTTTCCGGCAAGACTAGATGGGGCAACAACCCTCATTCGTCCTTCCTCTCTGCCATCACTGTCGAGAAATACCACCCAGATATATTCCCCTAAAAATAGTTATTGTAGTTACCCTATTCCTTTCTCTCTTTCTATTCCTCTTCGAATGGAGGGCCAAGAAAAGTAGAAAACACACCGGTGTGTGCTATTTTTCTTTTCCGGCGAAATCAAAGAGGCAACAGCCTCCAGCCGTCCCTTTCTTTTACTGATTTCGTTTTTCTCCCCTCGATAGCCAAGTACCGATGGTGCCTTCTTTTGACCCAATGATCGATCAAGAACCGATCCGCCACTGCTCTGGCTTCGATTTCCTTCCCTCTTTCTCGATCGAACACCACCAGGAGCTTCCCATTTTTGTGTTCGTTCATCCCATTCTTGATCTGTCACACCCCAAAACCATGAACAGCGGAAACATTCTGGGGCGGAGGATGTCATGTACAGTATCACAACAATGAAAAGTAGTAAACAAGCAACAACATCATTCATTGCATTAATAATATAATTATAATACAAGCGTGTTCTGTCAAATTATAATGGACACTAAAGTATAATCAAAATGAAAGATGAGTCTTGAACGAGCTCCATCTTCTCTAAACCTTGCATCGGTACCTGTCTACTGTTGACCTGAGGATACAAGTTATTTTGAAAGAGAGTATCAGCTTTAAAGCTGGTGAGATCATAAGTATTAATGTGTCTTAATTTGTAAAACTTGTAATGAAAGACTTGAAATTGTTTTGAAAGAAAGTTCGTATAAGTATGAAAATGTTTGTAGAACAACTGTAAACGTTTGAAAAATCCTAGAAATCCCTATTATTCCTACTATTATAAAAGGGAGTCTTCTACCAAG